GGCAGCGGCAGCGAGCGGTAGCGGAGAGGAGGATCTGAGCAGGGGACGGCGGCGGCAGCAGCAGCAGGAGGAGGAGTAGTGATGAGTCAACTAATAATTTAATGGGGACAGAAACAGAGAGAGAGGGAGAGAGAGGAGGGGGGAGAGAGAGCAGAGCAAGGCAGCTCCGTCCGGGGACACACACACACACGCACACACACATATCCATGTAACATCCAGCAACAACCACCAAACCGGCCTAAATAACAACCATACTCAGCCAGACAGGGGAAGCGAGAATTTAAAAAAAAAAAAAAAAAACGCATACGATTATTAAAAAAAAAAAAAGCGCCTACGATTATTATTCTTTTTCAATTATTATTGTTTTTGCTGGTTTGGTTTTTTGTTGTTGTTGTTGTTGGCTTTTTGCAACCTTTCTTTCTATTTTGTATTTTTCTCCCCTTCCTGCGAGTAACTCTTCTTGGAGTTCCCAGGTTTTCTTTCTTTTTTTTTTTCTTTGCAGAAACAACCAATTTTTAATACAGTTTTTTTTTTAATTATAATTTCTCCCGGTTTTGGACTCGGAGGGAGTGAAACCTCGTCACTTTTTCTAGTGGTGGTGGTGTGCCTTGTTGTGTGTGTGTTTCCTTCCTCCTCTCTGTTCTTTTTCTCTCTCCCCTCCTCTCTCTCGCTCCCTCTCTCCCCCCCTCACTCGCACAACAGCCCCCGGTAAATGAGAGGAGACAGGTCCTCTCTGCTTTTTTTTTTTTTTTTTCCTTTTTTCCCCCTCTTCTCCGCGGACCGCAAAGGCGAGATTAAAAGTGGCATTTTAGTGCCTTTTCCTGCAATTTTCTCTACCCTTTTTTTTTTTTTTAATCTCCAGTAGCGATCTCTGGGGCTGAGGTTTCCGCAGAAAGTTTGGGGGCTGTTACGGTGTGTATTTTTGCGGAGGGGGAGGGGAGCGAGCTCCTTCTGTGTGTGCTGCTCCTCTGGGTGCCTATTGGAGAATAATAGTGTAAGTGACAACCTAGAAGTAGACTTTCTGCTCTTCACACTGGATAGAAAAGCTGCTTTTTTTTTTTTTTTAAATAACCCCTTTCTCACTTGCTCCTTTATGCACTGATTTTATTTTTGAAAGGCTAGCTAGACTTAAGTCACCCTCCACCTGAATTTAAACCTGCTACTTTTTTTAAAAATCTTTCATTTCTTGTTTTTTAGCGCTACACTTGTCTGATCAATTTGATCTTCGGCTCCTTCTTCCGTTGCTAAACCTTGAAAACCTGGCTCTCTCAAAAGATATTTAATACATTTTTTTTTTTTTGTCCATTGCCATTTTTGCTCATGGCTACTCTGTTTCTCGCTATCTATTTTTGCCCCTCCCCGCCTAGAGGAAAATAGCAACAAGAAAAAAAGAAAAATAAGAGAATATTAGGGGAAGTAGTCCTCAGGTCTGCTGCTCCCCCTCTCCTCCCCCCCCCCCCCAAAAGGGGGGGGGGGACCTAGAAAACATCAGTCCTGAACTTCTTCCTCTTCAAGAGCTCGGGCTGCAAAGGAAACCTCCTTTGTTTTTGTTATTTATATGCTGTCAAGTTTTGAAGTGGTGAGTTTCGGGTCGGTTTTGCTAATTTCACTCAGAAAACTGCAGTGTTTCTGTTTCTAGATAAGTACTTTGCTTCTTTGTCTCTTTAAAAGGTCACAGTGAAAGCTTGGCCTGGATTGTGAGAGCCATATGGAACGGATAAGTGCGGAGCCTCTCTCAAATGTGATTACGGGTTTTTATGGGGGAGGGAGGAAAGAGGAGGGGAAACGAACGGGGAGGGGGGCTGATTCCGGAGGGGAGAAAGAAATAATATAACACCGGCGGTGTTGCCTCTCGACGAGAGGAGCTATCGCCGCGAATCTCATTGAGAAATTGCGCGGTGTGTCCGTAGGTGTACCCTAGCTCTTGGAAACCGTGCCTTGAAATTGTGCTCTTCTGCGAATGCCGGTGATGAAAACTTGTAGTTATGAAAGATGTCTAAACGCGAAACCCGAGGGAACTCTTGGCCTGGAATCTGTGGAGATAATTCTTGCTCCCTGCAACTGCCTCCCTGGGCAGGCCGGGCTGAGTGTTGCTCATCACTATTCCAAACTGAGGTTTCAGTGAACTTTAGCCTTGGGCATGGAGTTTAAATGAGTAAATTAGGTGTTTTATGTGCATGTAATTTTGCTTTGTAACATAAAGCTTTTTACAAGATGACTAAGCGGTTAAAGGATGCCGATGGGGGGGTATTCTAAGGCCAAGCTAAAATGACCCGTTTGGTGTTTTGCTGGAGCTCAGTGAATTAACTAAATTGCGATCTATCACTCTTATTCACTGTACACGATGTAGTGCTATTCTGACTCATGATGACTAGATACTTTTTGTAGCGAGAACCTCGGTGCATTAGAGTACTTCTAAAGTTGCCAAAAGTAACAAGAATTTTCTTGTTCGAGGTTGTTTGCTTTTTTTTTTTTTTACTTTTTTCTTTCCGTTTTTTTGGTTAATCCTCTTATTCTTGAGAGACCAGTTTCAGAAAAACAGCCCTATGTTATAGTGGCATCGTCAGAAATGTCAGAAGATGTCAGTGATTCGAGTCTGTAATTCGTTGGTTAGGCTACAGTTAACGCAGTAAAATGAGAATAATCTCTTTAAAAAGTGGCTAAAATGAGCACAGTTACTGTTAATGAGACACACGACCGAAAGCAGATGGGACCAAGATTAATGGTAACCCTTAGCATGTCACCTTAAAGTATAAGGATAAATAATGATTTTCTAAACTTTAGCTATTTGGTGGCATTCTTAAGGTTGCTTGTAAGTGTTCACATTAATATATTACCTCTTTCTTTACCATGTCAGGCAGAGCAGCACTGTGTTCAAACAAGAAAAAAATAGTTTACAGAATTGTTGCTGGCATATATAGCGGTGATATAGAGTATGTGAAAAATCCCAGCATGTTTAGATTTTAATAGCTTTGCTATGAAACATGCAGAAAATGTGCTGAATTACTAGGCAACTGAAGGAAAGTAGCAATTATCAGATTCGCACCAGTCTTTCTAAATATGACTTCCCTAATATTAGTATTTGCACTCAGTAATGTAAATACTAGTTCATAAATTAATGTCTAGTCACCTGTCCTTACTGATTATATTATATGCATATAACATAATTGTCAGTGTAGTCACACCTTTCTCAATCAGAGAAAGGTAGGGTAAAAGACTTAACAATCATAACAAATTGATGAATGAAATCATAACTTAATAGATGACTCTGTTCTCAGCAACTGATTGTCTTTATGCTTGATAAAATAGATTCTGATGGGTGACAAAAACCCTCAAAACTTCTTCCGTTATGTTCTAGACTTGGGGGTTTTTAGTGATTTAACTGGAATTTTTATTCATGGACTGAGGTTTCAAAAGTTTATAAAAGGGGAAATATAAACATGCTAACATACACCTTTTCTTAATTTGCTATTGAAATTACTTCCCTTTTTTTTGTTTCAGATAGCTGTGCCAGTATGTAACTTTGCATCACTAAGGGTTTCTTTATATTTAAGGGCTTCAAAAGTACTGTAGAAATTATGGTACTTCGGCATTATGTTTTGTGAGATGCTGCCTTCTCTCACTTCTTCTTTTATTCTTCTTTAATTTAAAAAACAGTATTCCATTTAACACTTAAAGCTTAACATCTTCAATTTTTCATATGCATATCTCAAACTTTGCAAAAGTTGATAAACTATTTGTATAAGATCAGTTAGGAAGTTCAAAAACAGCCACCTCCCGCTACTACATACTCAAGATAAATGTTAAATTCTATTCTAACTTTTATTTTTAGTGGGGGAAAAACTGTAAATGAGTGATATTCCACATTGCTTATAAATCTGTTGCTCCCTTAAGTAAAGTTTAACAATCTCTCTATTGTATGCCTCCATTCTTTTACTACATAGATTGAGGTCAGTTCCACGAGAATTTTTCTTTTCCTAGCAATAAAAGCATCCAGGATTAATAACAAACCTTTCTGTGAGATTTGTAACAATAGCTGGGTTGGAGCACGTATCTTGAAAATCATCATCGTTAATATTAGTCTTAGTCTTTCTCAGACTTACAAGAATATCTCTGAAGAATTTTTTTATGGGGGCACTCTAGTTGACTTATAAAAATAACTCCACCCGATTATGATGCGATCTCTCTGTAAACTGGGGTGTGAGGTCATTTTGGAGAATAATTTTTTTTTTCTTTTTTAAAAAAAAGTCATCATCTGGCTAATCAAAATAGTTATTTGTTCTTCTTTATGAGCTCACTATACGTATATATCTCTGTACATGTGCAGGCTGTGTACGTATACATATGCGCACACGTGTACAACATATATTTTTTTTTTTGAATCATGGCAGGTGATCTTTAGAGGCGGGACTGAGTATGGATCATTTGAACGAGGCAACTCAGGGGAAAGAACATTCAGAAATGTCTAACAATGTAAGCGATCCGAAGGGTCCACCAGCCAAAATTGCGCGCTTGGAACAGAATGGGAGCCCATTAGGAAGAGGAAGACTTGGAAGTACAGGAACTAAAATGCAAGGAGTGCCTTTAAAACACTCTGGACACCTGATGAAAGCTAATATTAGAAAAGGTAACACTTTTAATAATTCTGCATTGGAGAAATATGGGTTATAATATATGGGGGGAAGACATATTTTTATAGGCTCTACTTCATTTTTATTTCTGTATTAAATCTCCATTCTAAAATATTATATATTCCCAACTCTGATATAAATCACATTTGGGAAATGTAAGCTTCATGCTTGGGTGGAGCATCTTGCTTTACAGGGTGGAGTCTGATTTTTGTTAAGGTAAAGGGTAGCTGTATTGGTTAAAGCAAATTCTTACACTGAAATACAAGTAATATAATAAATTCATTCTCTAAGTAAGTGTTGGGCTGAGGACGCAAAAGTATGTAAGAATAAATGCTGAGCCCCCGAAACAAATTCTCGCTTTTCCTCTTAATGATGGTCCAAGCGTGAAAGGGACAGCAGTATTTCCATAGCAGTTGTAAGTTGGTTTGAAGGAGAGAGTGTAAATCTTTAGGTATCACATTGGAAAAGTCATTTATGATGTCAATCTTCGCAGTTTATTTTCTTAAGTACAATTCATTATTGAACAATGAACAACTTGGGTGTCATATTTTTCAGTGGCTGGTTTGCTGTAATTAGACATTTACACAAGGAAAAGGCACATTTAGAATCACTGATGTTTGTATATGGAAGCCTTTTGTTTGCATTAAAAATACTTTTAGTGAACAATAATCTATAAATCTTGCTTATCAAAATATATAAGTCTATCTGACCACATACTGCAGGCTTGTTAATTTAAATGAAAATATTCTGTATGTAATTTGGCATTTGTTTTAAAACAGCCTCTACTTTTCTGAGTATAACTGGTATATGTTGATAAACCAGATTTTTCTTGCATTTGCTAAGCAAAGTACAAAATGCAACCAAGACTATTAAACGCATAAAGTTAGAAGGCAGAGGAATTTCATTGTGTCTGATGCATAACATTTATCGTACAATCATTTATTTTTTCCTCGGTTTGGCGAAAACAAAGAATATATTGATCCTGAAATGAACAGACACAGCAGTCCGTATTGTTAGATCTTTATCTATTAAAAATGGAAAAACAGCACTTCAGCAAATTCTTTGGCCTCTGCTCATGATTACCCTATTTATTGATTGTTTGCCAAGAATGTATGCATCTTAAGAAAGCAAGGGTAAGAGCATTAAAAATATAATTTATTACGGCTTTTCAAACAGAGTGCATTAATATTGTACACTGAAGCAGTGGGGCTATATAAAAAGGACTTTCTGACGCCTGCAAACATATAAGTTCCATAAATTCCTAAATAGGAGATTTCAGCTGTCTCTGGTATTATGTGATATTTGCACAGCAAACTTTAATGCCAGGACAGTTTTAGACAAGGATTCTACAGACTTCACTGCTCCTTATGGCAGACGTGCTGTTTACACAGACTCGTAAACCTTCAGCAAAAGCTCTAACACTGCCTTCAGGTTTAAATCATGTTGTATTTTTAGCAGCGAGCACTGACCAATGCTCTCCCCTTTAATACTAGAAGGTTATGAAGTTGCTGCACTTGGAGGTCTTGCCAAGTGCTAGCAAGAGTGATCAGCCAGCTGAGATTGTGCTCTCCTGTATAACATTTTTCACATTAACAGAAGGACACTAGTGACAGTTTGCTAAAAGATTTAGTAGCTTGATTTGTAGTCAGATGATACCTGTGTCACACTGCCAGGATCCACCTCTGATATCTGGGCTGTTCATCAAAATTTGCTCCTGTGTTGTTTAAAGTACTACATTTTTTCAGATTGCTGTAACTTGTGAGACAGTATACCTGGCAGAAAGTGTGCTGGCACAAAACGAAGCACCTGTGCGTTGTTACTTTTGTGTCCGATAATAACCTAATTTCTGTAGGAGCTGATAAGGAAGAAAACAAATATGCCTTGGCTATTTCTGAAGGTATAGGCACAGTTTATTAAAATGAAGCTGTGTGTATGCTTTATCTTTCAATATTTAATACTGAAACTATTTAAAAATTGTGAGTCCCTTCTTTCAGTGAGACGGTAATAGGTAAACCTGAAATGTGAGAGCTTGGAGTGGGGGGAACCTTTTTGCAGATGAAGGGAGGTGTGTGTGTATGTGTGTTTTGGAAAGCTCTCTGTAGCTTAATTAAAATCGGGGAAGAAATCACCAGTTTGCATGTACTGTTTTTGCTTTGGTCTTCTCTCACTTCCTGGCCAATCTCACTTAGATTTTAAAAAACAAGACAAAAAAAGTCCTTCCTGCACTACATAAATATTGGCAAGCTTTTAGTCTTGTCTTTCATGCTGAGCCTACTGGGCAAACTGGAGTGAGTTTGTGAGCTTTTCCAGGCGAGCCTGAAGGGGTTTGTTTGCCAGAGACTGACTCTCTGGTGAACAGATGTAGTTTAAATATACATGCTTAAAAGGTATCTTTTTTCTCAATGTGCGTGTATGTGTGATTCCTTGCTATCTGTTAGAGCAGAAATCAACAGACACGGTCTTAAAGCATTTATCTATTGTCAGCAGTAAATCTTCTTTTCAACTACAGTACGTTTTGCGCACCTTAACAGGTTGGAAGGTTTCTGTAAGTCTAGAGGGCAGTGGTTATAGAGGCATTAACATTGTAGGACTAATTGGAGTTCCTGGGTGCCCTGTTAAAATAACCCTTGTCATCATTTATGCTAAAGATGATACCCTTCTGGCAGGCTGCCATAAGACAGTTCTGTACATCTGCTTTTAACCCTTTTGCTTTCTGACATTAAGATATCCTAACCTGCACTGCTGAAGACAGCGGGACAGGATTGGGACCTAAAACTGCAGTTCTGAGGTCGTCCTGTCATACGTGACTGTCTGGGAGGCCGGGAGGGATTTTCACAAAGTCTAGAAATTTGATTGCTGGAAGAGACTTTCTCCCTTCAACAGCTTGGGTCACTTGTTAATTTTTTGACTGTTGTCAAAAAAGGGGAAAAAAAACGAAGTTGTTTGCTTAGTATTCTGTACGTAATAGGGAACAGTTTGTCTTAAGATATTACAAAATTAGAAATTAATAATTGCCCTGAGGCATAACCAAATAGCACTGAGTACCAAAAATGCCAAATGTAAAGTGCATGTGGCAACAAACAGGCCCTAACTACAGGTCCGCTTATGAACGCTGCATTAAAAATCATTATGTGTTTCTTAAAGATGCAAGTGTAAGTAGCGCTCGAGGACTCTCAATGAATGAAGCATGAATTAGTGTTAACTTTTGCCGTGTTTCCTTGTGCGCTCTTTTAGCGTGAATGTGTAACGCACAGGACGATTTGTTGGTGATGTTGAAGGTAATTAAATATTTTTGGCAGAACTACGAAAGTTTTAACATTAACGAACAGAATCATGTAGATGGTACTAAAACAGCTCGCACCGAAGACATCTGCAGTATGTATTTAGGTTCTCATGCTGCGTGCTACTCACAGCAAATCAGGCAGGACGGAGAGAATCAACTTCTCTTCACTCAACCTTGTTATTTCGATAGACAGGTAATTCTTTGGTCTGTATCTGATCAAGTAAGATAAATTTGCATTTATACTTTTCATAGACCTGTATATCTTTTGTAGAACTCCCTATTTTGGGGAGGGAGAGGAGAAAGGACTCGGGGAATATGTTTATCAAATATTTGTGATGATTCTTGATGCTTCATCTGCCTGTTCGTACAGGTTTTATTTACATAATGCTTTGTAGATCCACCTACAATACTATAACTCAAGCTTAATACATAAAACTTTTTTTTTTTTTTAATTTTTAATAGGAAGTATGCTTCCAGTTTTCTGTGTAGTGGAACATTATGAAAATGCCATTGAGTATGATTCTAAGGAGGAGCATGCAGAATTTGTGTTGGTGAGGAAGGACATGCTTTTCAACCAGCTGATTGAAATGGCATTGCTATCTCTTGGATATTCTCACAGCTCTGCTGCCCAAGCAAAAGGTAGATCAGATTCGGAAACTGTACCGTGAAATCTGTTTGTTTGCGGCTGCTTGGGGGAGGGGCCGAATTTCAGGAATAAGATGCCATGTTTTACTTCTTAAAGTTCTTGCACATTTCATTCTTTTTTATTTCCCCCCCCCCCCCCCTCCATTTAGTTAATGCACGTTTTGTTTATGGGGAATATTGAGGTAAATTCTCTTTAAACAAAAAAAAAAAAGACTTCAACTGAATCATTAGTATGCTTATTGACCTTAATAATCTGCTCCACTGAGGATCCACAAGGAAGTGTAAAGCATATTTGAGCAGATGGACTGTTGAGAGTCAACTTGCATTTATGACTGAATATCCAGCTCTGTTTCTTTTATTTTGTTCCTGATGGTTTTATAGACTGAAAAGTAATTCTTTTTTGACTCAGTCCTTGTGTTATAAAAAAATCCTTTATAATTCATTAAGAAGAATGGTAATTATTTTATCATGTCCTGTTGAATTCATGGGAACTTGAGAAAATATGCTTATTTACGGTAGAGATTTTTTTTATTATGTAATGCATTTGTATAATTTCATAGTGTAGATGGAGAATGTCTTTGGTGGTGTGTGGGTGGAAGATTTGGGTAGGGGGTGTTGGTTGTTTTGTCTTGCCAAATTTAAGCAAGAGGTTAGAAACAAAGAGGGTGATAGCAGTAAAGAGAAAAATCTGATTATAAATGCTAAGTTTTAACAGGAAAATTACTTTTTTCAATTTTTCCTGTCCTTCTTCCTCCTCATTTCCTCATCCATTTCCCCCCC